CCAATCCCGTGGATATAATTAATGTTTTGAAGAACACTGAGCCAAAGTCTTCTACCCTCACCCTCCTCATCCCTTGTTCCCTCAACAAATTCAGGATATAGACACCTCGAGTCATGAGAACAGGGTAGAGAACCAATTATCCGTATGGATAGGCTGGACGACACCTGCAAACTCATAGCTCCCATCTCGTGTGAGGAAGTAAAACTAATAAAAATGAGGACTCACCGTAAGCTCACCATCACCTAGCCTATGCTGACTGAGACTTTAATGCCAAAAAGTGATCTGTGCCGAAGTGTCATTGAGTAACCCTGGTGTACCGGGGCCTCAATCGCACCGAAGTCCACTCCTTGACAGACTCTCTCATAAAGTAAATGTTACTTCTCAATACCTCTGTTTTACAGAGATTTTGTGTTCGTCTGGGTGATGCGCTGCCCACCTGTTGCCCCTTTTTAGCAAGGTTTGGCAATACACCGCAAGGACCCATCATACTGGCAACACTCTACTTACCTCCACGAAGACCTTACATACCTGAACCAGGACACTGCAGCTCCTGAGGCCAATATACTTCATGGGAGACTAACGCTAACAACCCACTCATTGGCTACACCCACACTAATAACGTAGGCAGAGGCTTTGCCTCATACATACAACAAAGCAGACTAACACACCTCGGCCCTCATACACCAACCTAAATTGCCTACAACTCAGCAACACCTAACTTGGTCTTTGCAAACCACAGAGCTCACCTACACCACCACATAACAAACGACGATGTTACATCCAGCGACCACCTTCCGGTCATCTTAACACTCTCTACAAACCCTATCATGATCCCAACACAACCCTGAGAATCCTTAAAACATGCAAACTGGGAAGTATTCAGACAACCACTTGAAAACACACACACGTAACTGATATTGAGGGGCAACCTACACACAATGAACAAATACCTTGAACAGTGGTATGCAGACATACAAGACAACATACCCAAAACAACATATAAAAGTATCACTCATTACAGAGAAACACATCGTCTTAGATTGCCTAAAATAACATACAAGCACTTACACAAGCACTCACTAATGTGGGGCTGGGACACACAACTATGCACACGATACACAGAACTCCAGACGCAAATAACTCACAGGATTAGATTAATCAAAACACGAAAGACCCCAAGACATTTTGGAGCTCCTTCAACAGGCTCATGGGGTCGAACAAACAACATTCATATACAATGCACATCGACAGAAGGTGGACTCGGAGGAGGTTCTCCATAGGGAATTCTAGCAACAGAATTTCCAGATCTCCCCTGCCGAGAACGCCTGCTTTGATAATACCACAGAAACCAAGGTAACACACTACCTACAACATAGAAACACAATTCTCTTAGAAAACACCATCAGACTAAACAGTCTCACAAAGGATAGTCCTCTCTCTACACCTTTCAACCCAGAAGAAATAATTAACACAAAAAAAAGCATGAAAAACACAACACCAGGTGCAAGCAACAAACAAAATCATCGAACATCTGCCACCCACAATGATCTGTAGGCTACACCACAATTTTCAATGCAGCACTGGCTTCAGGATATTTCCCCGACAAGTTTAAACACGCAACTATCACCTACATTGCAAAGTCGGGGAAGTCAGCACATGAGGTGGAGAGCTACTGCCCCATCTCATTGCTGGAAGTTCCCGTGTAAGAAGAAATGCCTGACAAAACAACAACAAAAACAAACAAACAAGATCGACTGAAGCTCAATCACCATAATGCTACAGGAATAAGGAAAGCCACACAAGGTAAACCCAGGTAAAATGGGTCTACCCTAAGTGGCATGCTAACAGTTTTACAAGCCAATGCAAGGACATTTTTACGACTTTCTTGAACAAGAACATTGCTGTGTGTTACTGCTGCAGTGCTAGTGGTTAGTGAACCATTGAATATATAGGCTAAAGTAAAAGTCAATGTAAATACCTCTTTTTTATATAAAAGTTATACTCCCCCCCCCCCCCAAGAATAACTAGGTGGCAAAAGAACACTTATCTTTTGAATTGTTTACTTATTTAGTTATTTTAAGGTGCTATGGAACTTAAATCAATAGCAAATTCTAAGGTGAATGCAACTAAAGGAATTATTTTTGAATTCTGATATTTTCTAATTTTTAATTTTATTTTATTACTGCATACAAAAGCAAAAAATTGCAGAGAAAGAAGTGTCGAGTTCCTGGGCAGAGGGAGAGATATAAGGGCATGACAGATGGATGATGAAGGGGAAATAAATCTAGATAGAGGATGGGAGCAGATGAGGTGAGGGATGAGATGAGGATGTGAATTTAGGGGAAATTGGATAAAATAATAAAACAGTATATAAGACATACGTGGGGAGATTAATCCTGTGACAACTTGGTCTGACGTGAAAGAGGGCCGGAGACGAAAAGGAAGCATAGTACACATAATGTAAATACACAAATAACAGGACATAAATATGATAAATAAT